ACAATGCAATTTCTAACATTATCTTCAACTCATTTTCTGAAATAACTACAAACTTAAAATGCTTAAATTCTCAATCCTCATCATTCATAGATTCAAGTTTATTAGAAACAAACACATGTAGATGCATTTTCTTGAAAAATAGAAAATCTTTCATCTTGTCTTTCCAAGTATGATAATTACTACCATCCAAAAAAACCAACTTGCTCATATTTGACTCCATCATTCAAATAAATTATCAACAACAACCCAATGCTATGATACCACTTTGGGAAAGGCAAGCACAAAAAATATGCACGAAAGGGAGATAGCGGAAGAAAACCCAAGTCAAAACTTTCCCTTCTATTTGAACCAAGAGATGAAAAAATAATATAAGAATAAAATAATTTGGGCAGCAAACTAATCAACCAAGCAAGAAAATAAATCAACACACGAGACAACAAAGTCTAATGTAGAAAACTACTTAGGTGTGAAGAGTAAAAAACAGAAGTCCAAAACTCCACTATAGTCAACAATAGTTAAAAAAATTGTTCTCCTAAAGGGCCACCAACAATGAGCAACACAATTACAAGATTGCACCAAAAACTAGAGAAATAAGAATTGCAAAAACATTTAAGTGCAGCTATTAGTCACAATAAAAAATCTGGAACTACAGGACTCCAAATCACCCTCTCTTAGTTCCCAATCAAATATTAATTTTAAAGGAACAATTTTTCCCAAATTCAGCTCAATCGGACAAGAAACATAGTGGAAATCGCGATTTGAAATTAGTTGTTAGGGCTTTTGCGAAAAATCTACACTTTTCTCTCTATATGGCTGCTCTCAAACCCTTGTGATTCTTTTCAAATAAGACCTAAAATAAAAGACTTACATATGCACTATAATATTGGGCTTATGGGCAAAGTAGGCTAGTCGAATTTGGGCTAAATTTATCCACAAAGGAAAGGATGGAAGACCTAAAACCTTGAACTTTTATTCATCCACATAAGAAAGGAAAAAGTCCCAAAATCCAACAAGATTTTTAGAACATGTTATTTCCAAAATAGATGAAAAAGATGAAGGTGAGCCTTTGAATGAAATATTATGTTTAGAAAATTAAATAATATCTTAAAACATAGTTGATAAATCAATGGATCAAGAGATAGTTCCTGGTCCATGTTATAGTTTTGAATACCTAAATTCTACAGAGGAATCTGAACTTAAATTACGTAAGAGTACAAGAAGAGGTGAATCAAAATGATTTTATGATATTGAGGATTATGTCTATGTGGTATCTCCCGTAGAATTGGATGAACGTAATTTTATAACTAAGACTTATGGAGCCCTAAAAGGGATAAATGGTTAAAAGCGAAGAAAGTGTTGCTCATCTTGTGTACCTAGGATACTTGGAACAAAAACTTTGAAGAAGTAGGTAAGAAACAATAAAATTTAATCAGAATTTTCAAAATTAAAAAATTAAAACCATTAGAGAAATAAAATCAGAAGAAGATTAGAAACAATCTACAAAAATATTTCTTAAAGAAGAAAATCGAGTTCACTGAATGCACAGTGTATCCTGAAGAAAATTATTCTCCTCAAGTACCCGAGTTTAATGGAATATATCCTCCTAGGATAGAACGATCTTATCCACGGTGTATCAGTACGTGAAATAACGTTGTCAGTGAACCACTCTTAAACAGTAAATTACACTTAGAATATTAGATTTAATAGTAGTATATAGAAGAAGTTTAGAAAATTGGTTCTCTTAAAATGAGAGAAAATCCCTTATTTATAGAAAACAAAAAGTGATGCGAACATGTTGGGTTTTTAATAAAGAAATTAAGAAAATAAAAGAGAAAGACTTCGAGAGAGAAAAATACTGCAGAATTGTCAAAGGGAATTATTTTATTAACAATTCAAAGGCTTATATTTATAGATATAATTTCTAACTAAAATAGAAAAATATGCTACTAACTTATCAGTAAAATTCAAATAATAAATAAAAGAACTAACTCCTAAATCAAGTCATATATGACTCTAATAAAATAATTTAAAAACTCTTAAAAGTAGTTAACTTTTTTATTTCTGCAATATCCTGAGACATATTTTCAACACTCGTTCTTGGATCATGAATTGTATATTGTAGTCTATCTGAAATTGACCTTGTGTAGAAATCTGCTAATTCAACCTTTGTCTTACAAAGCTTGTGTGCATCGTTTGATAGACTAAATGAGAAGCTTACCTCTCATTTCAACTTGTATAATCTCCTGCTTTGTGGAATCAAAGATTCGACAATATTTTTCTTCAATTAATGATTCAATTCCTTTTTATATTAACTGACCAACATTAAATAATTCTTTTATCAATATCAGGCACATAAAAAACATCTAAAATTATTTTTGTACCTAATTTTTAAAAAAGAAATTGAAACAGATCCTTTTCCTTTTGCAGGAATACAATCACCATTAACAATTCTGATTTTATTATCTTTGAGTGTCACATTTTTAAATAAAAGTAATTAAACAAAAAATATAATATCATACTAAAAATTAATTTTATTTAGCATCTTGATTAGTTTAAAAAAAAATTAAAATTAAAAAAATAAATACCACATTGTAAAATAATAATAAATAAATAAAAAATATAATACTATATTTAAAAATTAAGAAATTCTTAGCATTTTGATTTGGGTAGGGAAATAAATTTAAAGAAAAAAAATTATCTAAGAAAGGGAAAGGGGGCTATTGAGGTTTGAACCTCCAACATTCAACATGCAATGAAGAACTCTAACCAACAAAACTACTATTGGTGTAAGAAGTGTCACTTTAAGATATTCATTCATTGTTTACCTTTTAGATTTTCTGTTTTTTGTACTTATTTTCCGACGAAGCCGTGTCACATGACATGCCTTCACCTAAGCTAAATCCGCCCTTGCATCCAAAAATCAGATTTTTTGGTTAAAAAATAAGTTGCCGCAAATAAGTGTTCTTCTTCTTATTCTTCTTCAGTAGTGACTTGGGAAACTATTTCATCCTTTTAGAATTTTCTTTTGCAAATTACAACTTCACGACCAAGTTGTTTGCAGTTCTTGCACTCTGCATCTGGTTGTTTCCAACATTTATATGGAGGATGTCCATTTTTCTACAGTGCTGACAAGGTGGTTAATTGTTCAAAAATTTACCATTGCTTTGAGTTTTGTGGCTTGCTACTAATGTTCCTTCAACCAGGTCATCTTGTCTCATAAATATCCTTTGCTCTTGAGCTTGCAAAGAATTTAACAATTCTGCCAAGGTAATTTTTGACCAATCATGTGTATTTTCCAAGGTAGTTATGCATATTTCATATCTTTCGGGGAAACTGTAACAAGAACTTCTTAAACAATTCTTGAATCTTTAAATTCGGTATGTAGTAATATCTTGTTGACAATACCAAGCTATCTGTCAAAGTATTGCTTTACCGTTTTTGATTCTTTCATTCTCCACAATTTGAATTATTTCATTAAATTTAATACCTTAATTCCTCGTACTCTTTCATCTCCAACATATTCTTTCTTTAGATAATTCTAAATATGCATTGGTGAAGTGAGATTCATGATTTTAGTGAAAATAATTGTCGAAAAAGTAGCAAACAAAGTTTCTTTTGACTTCGACTCAATGGTTATCTTTTCCATATGACTCTTGATTTGTGTCACGGTGGAATTAATTGGCAGCAGATTAATTTCATTCTTCCAAAAGATCAATTGCCTTAAAGTAAGTATCCATTCTCACAACCCATAGTTGATAGTTTTCACCATAAAAATAGGAGGAGCCATTCGTGAAAAAACTAATTTTAGATTCAATTTTTCTACTCACAAGTCCCTCAAGAAGCAGGCTCTGAAATCAATTGTTGGTTTTTTAATAAAGAAATTAAGAAAATAACAGAGAAACACTTTTAGAGACAACAATACTGCAGAATTGTCAAAGGGAATTATTTTATTAATAATCCAAAGATTTATATTTATAGATATAATTTCTCACTAAAAATGGAAAAATATGTTGCCAACTTATTAGTAAAATTCAAATAATAAATAAAAAAACTAACTCCTAAATTCAAGTCATATAGTACTCTAATAGAATAATTTAAAAACTCCTACAAGTAGTCAACTGTTTTATTTCAGCGATATCCTGAGGCATATTTTCAACACTCGTTCTTGGATCATGAAATGTAGATTGTAGTATATCTGAAATTGACCTTGTGTAAAAATCTGCTAAGTCATCCTTTATCTTCCAAGGCTCGTATGCATCTTCTGATAGATTAAATGGGAAGCTCTTACCTCTCATTTAAATTTGTATAATTTCTTGCTTAGTGGAATCAAAGATTCGAAAATATTTGTCTTCAATTAATAATTTAAATCTATTTTATATTAACTGACCAACACTAAACAATTTTTATCAATATCAGACACATAAAAACATCTAAAATTATTTTTGTAGTTAATTTTTTTTAAAAAAATGAAACAAACCTTTTCCGCTTTGCAGAAATACAATCACCATTAACAATTTTGACTTTATTATCTTCCAGTGTCACATTTTAAAATAAAATAATTAACAAAAAATATAATATTATACTAAAAATTTTATTTTATTTATCATTTTTATTAGTGTTGCAAAATAAATTTCAATTAAAAAATTAAATATCCCATTGTAAAATAAAATAAATTAACAAAAAAATAATATTAGATTAAAAATTAAGAATTTTTTAGCATTTTGATTTCGTTAGTGAAATAAATTAAAATAAAAAGATTTATCTAAAAAGGGAAAGAGGCTATTGAGATTTGAACCTCCAACATTCAACATGTAATGAAGAACTCTAACCAACTAAACTATGCTCCTTTTTTGTGTAAGAAGTTTCACTTTGATATATTTGTTCACTATATACCTTTTTGCTTTTTAGTATTTTGTACTTATTTAGTAAAATTTTCCGACAAAGCCCTGGCACATCACATGTCTCTACCTAAATTAAATCCGCCCCTGCATCAAAAAATTAGATTATTTGGTTGAAAAATAAGTTTCCACAAATAAGTGTTCGTCTTCTTCTTCAATAGTGACTTGGGCAACTGCTTCATCCTTTTGAATTTGCTTTTGCAAATTACAGCTTCATGAACAAGTTGTTTGTTGTTCTTGCACTGTGCATCTGTTCTTTTCCAACATTTATATGGAGGATGTCCATTTTTTCCATAGTGTTGACAAGGTGGATAATTTTTCAAAAATTTACCGTTGCTTTGAGTTTTGTGTATGGCTACTAATACTCCTTCAACCATGTCATCTTGCCTCGTAAGTCTCCTTTTTTCTTGAGCCTACAAAGAATTTAACAATTCTGTCAAGGTAATTTTAGACCAATCTTGTGTATTTCCCAAGGTAGTTATACATGTTTCATATCTTTCGAGGAAACTGTAACAAGATTTTTTTGAGAAATTCTTGTATCTTTAATTTCAGTATATTGTAATCTTACCTTGCTGACAATACCAAACAATCTGTCAGAGTATTCCTTAATTGTTTCTTATTATTTCATTCTCCACAATTCGAATTCTCTCATTAAATTTAATACCTTAATTCCTCGTACTCTTTCATATCCAACATATTCTTTCTTTAGATGATTCTAAATATGTATTGGTGAAGTGAGATTCATGATTTTATTGAAAATAGTTGTCGAAAAAGTAGCAACCAAAGTTGCTTTTGCCTTTGACTTAATGATTATCTTTTATATATGACTCTTGATTTGCGTAACGGTGGGATTATTTGACAGCACATTAATTTCATTCTTCTACGACTTTCCAAAGATCAATAGCCTCCAAGTAAGTATTCATTCTCAGAACCCATAGTTGATATTTTTCATTTAAAATATAGGAGGAATCATTCGTGAAAAACTATTTTTAGAATCTAATTTTCTACTCACAAGTTCATCAAGAAGAAGGGTCTGATACCAACTGTTGGGTTTTAAATAAACAAATTAAGAAAATAACAAAGCAAGACTTTGAGAAAAAACAATACTGCAAAATTGTCAAAGGAAATTATTTTATTAATAATCCAAAAACTTATATTTATAGATACACTTTCTAACTAAAAATTGAAAAATATGGTACTATCTTATCAGTAAAAGTCAAATAATAAATAAAAGAACTAACTCCTAAATTCAGGTCATATAGGACTCTAATAAAATAATTTAAAGACTGCTAAAAGTAGGTAACTGTTTTATTTCTGCAGTATTCTGAGACATATTTTCAACACTCCTTCTGATATCATGAATTGTAGATTGTAATCTATCTGAAATTGGCCCTGTGTACAAATTTGCTAAGTCATCATTTTTCTTGCAAGACTTGTGTGCATCTTCTGATAGACTAAATGAGAAGTTCTTAACTCTCATTTCAACTTGTATACTTGCGTTGTGAAATCAAAGATTCGATAATATCTGTCTTGAATTAATAATTTAAATCCTTTTTATATTAGCTGAGCAACACTAAATAATTTTTTTATCAATATCAGGCACATAAAAAACATATAGAATTATTTTTGTATCTAATTTTTTTTAAAAAAATTAAAACAGACTCTTTTCCTTTTGCAGGAATACAATCACTAGTGACTTTATTATCTTCCAGATTAAATTTTAAAATAAAAAATAATTAAACTAAAAATATAATATTATTTTAAAATTTTAATTTTTATTTAGCATTTTGATTAGTGTAGCAAAGTAAATTTAAATTTTAAAAAATTAAATATGGCATTGTAAAATAAAAGACAAGCAATATTATATCAAAAAATTAAGAATTTTTTAGCAATTAGATTTGGGTAAGGAAACAAATTTAAATAAAAAAATTATCTAAGAAAGAGAAAGGGGGCCTATTGAGGTTTGAACCTCCAACATTCAACATTTAATGAAGTACCCTAACCAACTAAACTACGCTGGTTTATATGTAACAAGTGTCACTTTGATATATTTGTTCATTGTTTACCTTTTTGCTTTTTAGTTTTTTGTACTTGTTTAATAAAATTTTTCAATGAATTTGTGTCACGTGACACGCCTTCACTAAGATAAATCTGCTCCTGCATCCAAAAATCAGATTTTTTGGTTGAAAAAGAAGTTTCTAAAAATAAGTGTTATTCATCTTCTTCTTCAATAGTGACTTGGGTCTTGCACTGTGCATGTGGTTCTTTCCAACATTTATATGGAGGATGTCCATTTTTCAGCAATTTCTGTATTTTTTTCAGTACCTAGTAACCTTACCTTGTTGACAATAACCAAGCAATCTGTCAGAGTATTTCCTTGATTGTTTCTGATTCTTTAATCTCCAAAATTCAAATTCCCTCATTAAATTTAATATCTTTATTCCTCGTATTCTTTCATCTCCAACATATTCTTTCTTCAGATAATTCCAAATATCTATTGGTAATGTGAGAGTCATTGTTTACATGAAAACAATTGTCGAAACAATAGCCAACAAAGTTGCTTCAGACTTCGACTTAATGGGTATTTTTTTCATATGATTCTTGATTTGTGCCACGGTGAGATTATTTGGCAGAAGATTAATTTCATTCTTCCACGGCTTCCCAAATATCAATAGTCTCCAAGTAAGTATCTATTCTCACAACCCATAGTTGATAGTTCTCACCATAAGAAACAGGAGGAACCATTTGTGAAAACTATTTTCAAAATCCATTTTTCTACTCGCAAGCCCTCAAGATATATTTCATTCTAAGTACATAAAAATAAAAAGAAAGACTTTAGAATGAAATATATCTTACCTTCATATACTTTTCTTTTAAATGCGTTAATTAATTGACAAACAAGTATGACAAGAAGAGAATTTATAACTTTGAATGTGAATCTTCATGAAAATAAATATGAATATATATAAACAAAATAAATCAAATGAAAAAATATTTTTCTTCAATTAATAATTGAAATCCTAAGTCAGTATATGAATTGTTATAATCTCTTGCTTTGTGGAATAAAAAATTCGACGATATTTGTCATCAATTAATAATGGCAAAAGGGTCTGATATACCCCTCAACTTTGTCATTTAGAGCTTATATACCCCTCGTTATAAAAGTGGCTCATATATGCCCTTACCGTTATACAAACGGCTCACATATACCCCTGCCGTTATAAAATGGCTCACATATACCCTTCATTTAACGGAAGTTTAAAGGTTAGTTTTAAATTTATACTCATTACTTGTAATTTCAGAAAAAAAAATTATTTAGGGTATATATAATTCTTCTATCAAAGTTCAAGGTATATTTAATTTTTTTTATACATAAATTATTTTTTGACTTCTTTTATTATAATTATTTGAGTTTCTTATTCTTATTTTGTTTTTTTCTTTCATTCCTTAGTTTAAAGAAACAAAATTTTGAACTATTTTTTTTGAGTGTATTGTAATTTAATTTCGTATTCGAAGAAAAAATTTGGTCATCTACAATAAGTTTTACAAGAATATTAGTGAAACATAAATAAATTTATCAAAATAATAATTATAAATTAGTCATTGAAACAAAAAAAAAAGTCAAAAAAAATATGTTTGACAAGGATTAAATTTACTCATATGAGATTATATTTTTAGAAAAAAATAATAAAAATTTAGATTAAAATTATTATTTTTTCATTTCCGTTAGAGGAAAAGGGTATATATGAGCCATTTGTTTACAAGTAGGGGTATATATGAGCCACTTTCATAACAAGGGGTATATCAGCTCTAAATGACAAAGTTGAAGAGTATATCAGACCCTTTTCCCATTAATAATTTAAATCCTTTTTATATTAACTGACCAACACTAAACAATTCTTTATCAATATTAGGTACATAAAAAACATCTAAAATTATTTTTGTACCTAATAAAAAAATTGAAACAGACCCTTTTCATTTTGCAGGAATAAATCACCATTATAAATTCTGACTTTATTATCTTCAAATGTCACATTTTAACATAGAGCTAATTTAACAAAAATATAATATTATATTAAAAGATTAATTTTATTTAGCATTTTGATTAGTGTAGAAAAATAAATTTAAATTAAAAAATCAAATATCACATTGTAAAATAAAAATAAATAAACAAAAATTACAATATTATATTAAAAAATTAAGAATTTTTTCGCATCTTGATTTAGCTAGGGATACAAATTTAAATAAAAAAATTATCTAAGAAAGATAAAGTTGGTTATTAACGTTTAAACCTCCAACATTCAACATGTAATGAAGAACCTTAACCAACTAAACTACGCTCATTTTTGGTGTAAGAAGTGTTACTTTGATATATTTGTTCATTGTTTATTTTTTTTATTTTCAATTTTTTGTACTTATTAATAAAATTTTCCGACGAAGCCTTGTCACATGATACGCCTTCACCTAAGTTAAATCCGCCCCTGCATCCAAAAATTAAATTTTTTGGTTGAAAAAAAAGTTGCCATAAATAAGTGTTCTTGTTCTTCTTCTTTAGTAGTGACTTGGACAACAACTTCATCCTTTTGAAATTTGATTTTGCAAATTACAGCTTCATGACCAAGTTATTTGCAGTTCTTGCACTGTGCATCTGGTCTTTTCAAACTTTTATATGGAGGATGTCCATTTTTTCCACTGTGCGTACAAGGTGGGTAATATTTCAAGAATTTGTCGTTGTTTTCAGTTTTGTGGCTGGCTACGAATTCTCCTTTAACCATCTCTTTTGCCTCGTAAGTCTCCTTTGTTCCTGAGCCTGCAAAGAATATAACAATTCTGCCAAGGTAATTTTAGACAGATCTTGTGTATTTGCCAAGGTAATTATACATGTTTCATATATTACAGGCAAACTGTAACAAAAACTTTTTCAGCAATTCCTGTATCTTTAAATTCAGTACCTAGTAATCTTACCTTGTTGACAATACCAAGCAATCTGTCAAAGCAATCCTTGATTGTTTCCGATTCTTTCATTCTCCACAATTTGAATTTACTCATTAAATTTAGTACATTCATTCCTCGTATTCTTTCATCTCCAGAATATTCTTTCTTCAGATAATTCCAAATATCTATTGGTGATGTTAGAGTCATCATTTTCGTGGAAACAGTTGTCGAAACATTAGCAAATAAAGTTGATTTTGCCGTCAACTTAATGGTTATCTTTTCCATATGACTCTTGATTTGTACCACCGAGGGATTATTTGGCAGTAGATTAATTTCATTCTTCCACGGCTTCCCAAAGATCAATTGCCTACAAGTACGTATTTATTCTTACAACTCATAGTTGATAATTCTCACCATAAAAATAGGAGGAGCCATTCGTGAAAAACTATTTGCATAATCATTTTTTTACTCACAAGTCCCTCAAGAAGAAGACTTTGATACCAACTTTTGATTTTTAGTGAAGAAAATAAGAAAAGAATATAGGAGGACTTTGAGGGAGAAAATATTGTATAATTGTCAATGGGAATTATTTTATTAATAATCCAAAGAAATAACTAGTCGGTTCAACTATAACTCCACAGGAAATGGGACCAAAGAAAAATAAAATAGTTAATGTAGTCGATTTAGATTATCATATCCCACTGATCTGTGGTATAATAGTTGGCATTACTTAATGCATGTTTAATCTCACTTTATGACTTGTGGTTTGACACAAATATAACATCTGCCAACTCTAGGCATTAATTTTATTTTAGCAACACCAGTTCTCAACAACATCAATCAATCAACCAAATGGACATTAAATCAACTTTTACTTCTTTTATTATTTTAATTGTTTCATCATTAATGCTCTTCAACTACCCTCTTGCTCAATTAATCTGAATGTCACATTTTCAAATAAAACTCGTTAATTACTGTTTGATTGTAATAGGCTATTTATGAACTAATTTCTTGGAAAAAAATGTTTGCTATAATAAGTTCAACTGAGTTGGGCATAAAGTTAAGTTAAGATAGATGTGATTTACGCATTCATATTTATTGAATTATTTATATTATTACATAGAAAAAGGTAAAACTATATACTATCATATTACTAATATTAGCCGTTCTACAAATAAAAAGTTGCAAGAGTTATGAATATGGAAAGGTCTACTAAGTTGGTATGCAATTCTCAAATTAATAATATACTTTCATAGAACAACAATCTTTTGCTAGCATTTGAAATGCATTATTGAAAAACAAAAATATAACATAACTAGTAAAATTATTTGCGCTTCGTTCAACTATATAAAATATTTATAAGATAATAATATGATATATGTAATATTTAGGTTAGTATCAAATATATGATAATATTAATATTTATCTCTGTCTGCGATATCATAGACTTTTTAAAAACATATAAAATACATTTATTTATTATGAATATGTATATATTAGAACAAAATATTCATTGTGGTGAAGTAAATGGAATAAGAGATAATATGTTGAAATAACATATATTGTTTTAGGTTGAAAGTATTTTATATATTTTAATTTTCTCTATCTGTTGTAGAAGTACTAATGTTCTGTTCAAATTTTGATTCCGTCAAAACAAAATTGATTTTTTAAATTTTATTATTACATTAGCTTATTTTAATTTTTTAAACATTAATTAAGTATTTATAAGACATATGAAAAATGTAACAGATAAAAGTTATGAATAATATTTATGTCACGACCCAAATTCAAGCCGCGAGTGGCACCCAGACTTATGCTACTATGTGAGCGAACCAACCAATCTAAACCCCAATATTTCAAACATAATGAACAAAATACAATGCGGAAGACTTAAACTCATTAATAAAAATCAATTACATAACTTCTAAAAAAAACTCAACATCTATTATTCCCCAAAATCTGGAAGTCATCATCACAAGAACATCTATGATCAAATTACTAGACTAAGAGTATCCTAATAGCTAAAATAATTAAAAAGTTAGTCCATGCCGGAACTTTAAGGCATCAAGACATGAGGAAGAAGATCCAGTCCAAGCTACAAGTATTAGCTCACCCTGAAATCCGATGTAATGAAGACTGACTAGAGTTGCAGTTGAGTTGAAGACGACGGTACGTTTGCTGCACTCCATAAATAACAAAGAAAGAAACATACAAGTAGGGGTCAGTACAAAACACAAGTACTGAGTAGGTATCATCGGCCAACTCAAAATAGAAAACAATATATATCAGATAATATCATAAATCAACTACAATACTCAACATGTAGCAACAACAAGTACTATAATCATAAATAAGTACCGCCAAGTTCACCCATGAGGACTCAAGCCTCAATACCATACTCATTTGGGAAATAGGTTCATTAAATTGAGTATATTAACATCTTTCAAGATTCATTATCTTTATTCCTCTCGTGTCGGTACATGACACGCCGCTCCCCTAAACTATGTGTCGGAACGTGACACTCCGATCCCCTAATTCTACGTGTCGGTTTGTGACACCCGATCCCATAATTCTACGTGTCGGTTCGTGACACCCGATCCCCTAATTCTATGTGTCGGTTTGTGACACCCGATCCCATAATTCTACGTGTCGATTCGTGACACCCGATCCCCTAATTCTACGTGTCGGTTCGTGACACCCGATCCCCTAATTATACGTGTCGGTTCGTGACACCCGCCCCACTAATCTCATTCTCTTAATTCATCAATTCTTCTTTTATACCAAGGCATCATCAATCTCATTACTTTAGTTCATCAAGCCTTCTCTTATACCAAAGCATCATCATTAACAAAGTAAATTTAGGATTCAAGATTCAATAGCCTCATCATGCTAATTCATCACAATTATATAATCACATCATGTAAGCACACAATTAAGCATATAGAAGACTTTATATGTTACCCAACACATATCATTCGCTATTAAGAGTTTACTACGAATATCATAAAAACCATAACCTACCTCCACCGAAGATCCGTGATCAAGAAATCTACTTTTCAAAGCTTTGTTTTCCTCTTCGTTTCTCCTCTCTCTCTCGATCGTTCTTCTCCCTCTCTCTGTTCTTTCTATTTTTCTTATTCAAACCCTCTTTCTTTTACCCTAATTAGCGTATAATTAAGTATAAAAGATGATGAATTAACCCCTTAATTAATTCAAGGTTATCTCCTTTAACCCTCAAGTAGTTAAACTATTAACATTAACCCACTACATTTATAATTATAGCAGGAATACTCCAAAACGCCCCTTAAAACATTTAACAGAAATCCGACCCAGCCTGGGATTACGCAGCCTGTGACGACCCGTCGTGCCTGCGACGGTCCGTCCTGCTGCTTCCGTCACAGAGTTCAGAGACTGAATTTTTTACTAAGGGTCTGTGACGGCCCGTCATGCCTGTGACGGTCCGTCCTGCCATTTCGTCACGAAGTTCAGAGAGTCGATTTCAGTACCCAAATTTCAGAATTTTAAGTGTTTTGGAACGAGACCCCCTCGACGGTCCGTCGTGCCCATGACGGTCCGTCGTGGGTTCCGTCGACTCAGCCAGTTTTTCCAGAAAATACTCTACTGCTCAAAACGACTAAACAGGTCGTTACAATTTAATATCAAACATTACAAGTAAGATGAACTGACATGATTTTTAAATAATTGAAATGTATAATTTGATTAGACATTAAATGTATTACTAATTATGTATTGATTTTATTTGTAAAATAAATAAATAAAAATAAGGGCTGAAAATACAAAAAAATGAACAGAGAAAATATAATAATTGGTGACTACATAAAAATTATAAATACATTTAATAGCAAAAAGAACGGCGACAGATTGTTAAAAAAAATGACATCATGAAAATAATATTATTTTTTTAAAATTATTTTTTGTAATATAATAAAAATGAAATTAATCATCGTAAATTTTGTTGTTGTTATTAAAATAAAATAATTCTATTAATTTTTTCATAACAAAGAGAAATTGGAATAATAAAGGATCAAATGATTAGCATTGACAATATAATACTTTTAACTAAATTATTTATATAAATCAGAATTTTAAAAACTCTAGCAAAAGGAACTAAGTTGCTAATTGAGTTCAAAGTGAAAAAATAATCTCTAATTATGGTTCATTTTTTCCTTCTACCATCTTCCTTTGAAAAGAGATCTGTCATCATGTTTTGATCCATATGTCAAAATCTTCATTATATGCAACCAACTGAATAAAAAAATCAAATACCAATTAAAAATAATTATGTCGAAAGAAAGAACGAAATATAACCTTTAGTTAATATATTTGTAAATTATCTTTTCAATAGTTCTAACAATACTAAATAATAATTATTTCTTGAAATCTGAATAATTTTATAATCAAACTATATTATATCTAGAAAATTAACTATTAAAAAGAGCAATCGCATACGGACAACACATTGTTAAGAATTAGACAGTTTTTTTAATCATACTTACTTGATAAATTATAATACAAACATAAAAAAATATACTAAGAAAGAACGTCTAAGTACATGAAAATAAAAAGAAAGACTTTCAAATGAGATATATCTTACCTTCATATGCTTTTTTTTAAACGTGTTAGTTAATTCACAAACAAGTATGATGAAGAAGAGAAATTATAACTTTTTATGTGAATCTTCAAGAAAATAAATATAAATTTATATAGACAAAATAAGCAAATGAAAAAATATTTCTCTTCAATTAATAATTTAAATCCTTAGTGAGTATATGAATTGTTATAATCTCTTGCTTTGTGGAATCAAAGATTCGACAATATTTGTCATCCATTAATAATTTAGATCCTTTTTAAATTAACTGACCAACACTACACAATTTTGATTATCAATATCAGACACATAAATACCATATAAAATTATTTTTGTATCTAATTTTTCAAAAAAAATTGAAACAGACCCTTTTATTTTTGATGGAATACAATCACCATTAACAATTCTGACTTTATTATCTTCTAGTATCACATTTTAAACAAAAAATATAATACGATATCACAAAAATTATTTTATTTAGCATTTTGATTAATGTAGCAAAATAAATTTAAACTAAAAAAATTAAATATCACATTGTAAAATAAAAATAAATAAACAAAAATCATAATATTACATTAAAAAATTAACATTTTTTTAGCAATTTGATTTGGGTAGGGAATTTAAATAAGAACAATTATCTAAACAAGGGAAAGGAGATTATTGAGGTTTGAACTTCAAACATTCAACATGTAATGAATAATTCTAACCAAACTAGCTACGCTCAATTTTTGTGTAAGTAGTGTCACGTTGTTATATTTATTCGTTGTTTACCATTTTGCTTTTTCAGTTTTTTGTACTTATTAATAAAATTTTCCAACGAAGCTGAGTCACATGACACGCCTTCACCTAAGTGAAACACGCCCCTCCATCCAAAATCAAATTTTTTGGTTGAAAAAACAAGTTGGCAAAAATAAGTATTCTTCTTGTTCTTTCAGTAGTGACTTGGGCAACTACTTTATTCTTTTGAAATTTGATTTTGCAAATTACAGCTTCATGACCAAGTTGTTTGCAGTTCTTGCACTGTGCATTTGGTCTTTTCCAACAAGTATATGAAGGATGTCCATTTTTCCACATTGCTATTAAGGTGGGTAATTTTAAAAAAATTTACCGTGGCTTTTAGTTTTGTTTACCTTCATCTATGTCTCTTGCCTTATAAGTCTCCTTTGTTCCTCAGCTTGCAAAGAATTTAACTGTTCTGCCAAGGTAATTTTAGATATATCTTGTGTATTTTTCAAGGTTATACATGTTTCTGCCAAGGTTATACATGATTCATATCTTTCGGGGGAACTGTAACAAATTTTTTTAGTAATTCCTGTAACTTCAAATTTAGTACCCAGTAATCTTACCTAGTTGACAATACCAAGCAATCTGTCAGAGTATCATTCTCCACAATTCGATTTTCCTCATTAAATTTAATATTTCATTCTTCGTTGTAACGACCCTCCGGCCGTTTTAAGAACTAAGAATATTTTGACTCATTCTGAAAAATTTAAAGGAATATTTTAAACTATTTGATAGCTACAAGTATTTAGTTAATGAAAATTTCAGCAATTTACTTAAAATAATTAATAGTTGGTGGGCCAAGTCCATAACTTATTTAATATTTTCTTATTTGGCTCATACTTAAAATAACTTAAAGGGGTTTAAGTTATTATATCATTGTTTGAAGAAATTAGAAATAGGAGAAACTGCTCGAATTCACGTCTTTGAAGAACGCTTGTTCAGGTAAAGAAATGCAATATTTTCCTAGATTTAAAGCTTTGTGTAAGTACAATTACAATATAAATTACTGAGATTTGAATTGTTGTCATTATTATATTGATGGGGTCAGGAAATACCTGCAATTGGATGAAAAAATAAAATAAAATGTTGGTATGCAATTTCTTTTAAAAAATCGTGATATTGGGATGGGTTGGGGACAAAATCTTATCCAATCATTAGGCAATCATACCAATGATTGGCATTAGATACCTTCAAGAGAATTTGTGCAAAATTTTTTGTACAGAACGGATATTTGGAAATGGTGGTTAACGTTGCAGTCTTTCAGTTCTTCGCCTGGTGATGTTCAGGGGTGGAGTTGATTCTTATTTTATTTATTTATCAAATTAAGATACTATTTTATCATCCTCTTTATTGAAATAATATTGTGTGCATGCATCGACATATGATTGGTTAAAGGTTGGGCACGTGAGGATCGTCTGTGATGGGGATGGTGAGATGTTAAGATTATAATTTGTGCATGTAGCGACCGTCCGTGTGAAAATGGTTTGATTTTATGGTATTGTGTTCAGATTGTCCGCACAAACACGTGGAGATTGTCCGTGTCAGTAAATGGACCTCGCGAGTCCCCCATGGGTCATGAACTCTCGAAGTATTTTCGAGGAGTATCATCTATATACGGTTGAAAGAGTACTTAATATTTTGAGACATATCATTTTATGGTATCATATTGAATTTCATCTCATGACATCCTTCATTTTTTAATGATTACGTATTTTATTTAGTGGTTGAAAAGAACTTGATATTTGATTACCTCTATTTGATGAAACTTGACTAGTAAATGTAAATATAGACTTTTATAATTAAAGAATTAATTTTTCTTATATAAACTCCCGTCACTACTTCTTCGTTGTAGGTCAATGAGATATACTGGATACACATGGTTTTATACTCATACTACACTTGTTGCACTCTTTGTGGTGCAGATTCGATTCTGAGTAGGAGCATATCTCGTGGAGAAATTCGAGTTCAAGTTTTAAGTGTCTCGGAGTTGTGGTGAGCTGTTTGGTTGTTTCGTGGCCCACACCTCCCTTTATCTTTTACATATTCTGTCATTTAGTATTCAGACAGGGTATTTCTTATATTTGATTTGTCATTTTAGTATCAGACTTGCATTGTATTATAGAAGCTCTTGTACTTATGATACCAAATCTTGGGTAGTATTTTATCTTTCCGCAGTTGGTACTTATAAGAGCTTTATGTTAGAGAACTTCACTTAGTTTTTTTTCCTCACTATTTAATTAAAATTAGTAAAATATATTGGGTTGGCTTACCTAATTGTTGGGAAAATAGGTGTCATCATGACTTGTAAATTTGGGTCATGACAATTTGGTATCAGAGCACTAGGTTCATCGGTCTAACAAGTACAAGAGAAATGTCTAATACAGTGTTGCGGATTGGTATGAAGATGTACATACCTATCTTTGAGAGACTATAGGACATTTAGGAAAATATTGTATTCTTTCATTCACTATCATGCACACTTGACCTTGTTGGAATTCTAGTCTTGATATCTCATTCTCTCTTAGATTGCAAGGGATCGTACATCGGCAAGTGGTGGTTGTAGTTTATTCCTGCGCCTGCTTCTGGAAACACTATGCGAAATAGAGGCAGGGGATGAGCTCGAGCTCGAGGTCCTGGTAGGGGCCATATTGCAGCACTTGTGAACGGTTAAGTACCAATAACTACCATGGCCGTGATAGGACCGTACCTCCTGATGCAGAGGTTATTTGTAAAGATGTGCAAGTTCATGTCAAGGGGGATGAGCTAGCTCAGGCTCCACCCAGTACTATTGCCACCCCAGTGCTTCAAGATACCTTGTCTCGTATGTTAGAAATCCTAGAGGGGATGGCTCACGCAGGAGCTTTGTCTGTCACTTTTGATGACTCACAAACCCATGTTGGAGGTCAGACTGCAGATTGGATAGTTGCTCCAGATTCTCAGACTCCCAAGACTCAGCCATCTGCTGTGTAGCTCCTCGTATAAATAGTATGGAGTTTCCAGATATTGCATCACATTTGGCGAACAGGCCTTCTATGAACATTGATGAACAAAAGATGTTTGGGAGGTTCAGACTAATGAATCCTCCAACTTATACTGGTGACTTAGCTGAGGATGCATATAAATTTATAGTTAGTTTTCATGAGAGGTTGCATAATCTTGGATTAGTGGAGTCTCATCGAGTTGACTACACTGCATTTCAGATGAATGGCTCTATAGGTAGTGATGTATGGATTATATTAGTAGTAGGCTAGCGGTATCCCCTCAACTATACTAGACTCAGTTTACTTAGATATTTCTATCCAAATTTTTCCACGCACTGAGGGAGTGAAAGAGGGCCGAATTAGAGGGTTTATAGCAAGGTGGTATGTCAATCACACAGTATGAGGGTAAATTTCATTCTTTGGCTAGGCATGCTTTGAAGATACTTCCCACACAGGTTGAGAGAATCCAAAGGTTTGCTAAGGGGATGATTATTTTGATTTGTCTAGGAGTTTCTCAAGTTAATGCTTCTAGTGTTCCGTTCCAGAAAGTGGTTGATGCTGCTAAGGAGTTGGAGATAATTCGACGTGAAGGGTCTGAGCAACGTGAGGGCAACAAGACTTGTTGTTCAGGTGATTATGGTCGTGCTCCGCCTAGGAGTCGAGGTTACTTGGGCAGAGGTTATCACTCTTAGTCCAGCAGACCCATTCATGTTGCTATAAACCAGTGTCTGAGGCTGGTTACACTGGGCATAACTCCTCGATCTAAGTGCATACTTCATAGGGTTCATCTTCTAGACCTGTAGTTCGTAGAGGGCATTCATGTTATTCAGGAACCTCTCATCACCCTGCGTCTTGTAGGGGTTGTTTTGAGTGTGGTCATGTGGGACACTTTGTAAGAGACGTCCCTAGGACCAGACGTGGTGGCCTACATCAAGGTTCTTAGGCTTCGACTTCCAGGGATGCACAACCTCCAGCTAGGGTTGGTGCCAGAGTAGTAAAGGTGGTTCTCCTTCAGATAGAGGTGGTTCTCCTTCTGGTCGAGGTGGTGGTCGTGGAGGTTCACAATCTGAGGGAGGTCGTTCTCACTATTTATGCTTTTACGGGTAGGCCAGAGTCTGAGGCTTCAGATGTTGTTATCACAAGTATTATTCCGGTTTTTCATCAACTAGCTACTGTATTATTTGATCTAGGCTTTACTTATTCTTATGTTTCCACATATTTTGCTCCTAGTCAAGATATATTATGCGAGTCTCTTGATTTCCCGATATATGTTTCTACTCCTGTCGGGGATTTCGTAGTTGTAGATCGCGTGTATCGATTATTTATTGTTACCTTGATGGTGCATGATACTCATGTAGATTTTAAGATTTTAGATATGGTAGATTTTGATGTGATTCTTGGTATGGATAGTTATCTTCTTACTACGCAATTTCAAATTGTCATGCAAAGACAATCACTTTAGTGATGCCTGGAATTCCTATAGTAGAATAGAGAGGTTCTCTTAGTCACTTTCCTAAGGGTGTGATATCATTTCTTAAGGCTCGTCAGTTGGTAGAGAGAGGATGTTTGGCTTACTTGGCCCACATCCGAGATACTAGTGTTGAGACTCATATGCTTGAGTCTATTCCTGTGGTGAGTGAATTTTCAGAGGTATTGCTGACCATTTTCTAGGTTTCCACCAGATCATGATATTGATTTTTGTATTGTTGTGGAGCCAGTCATTCAGCCTATTCTCATTCCTCCTTATCGTATGACACCGACTGAATTGAAAGAGTTGAAGGACCAGTTGCAGGATTTGTTGAGCAAGGGATTTATTAGGCCGAGTGTATCTCCTTGGGGTGATCCAGTGTTATTTGTGAAGAAGAAAGATGGATATATGAGTTTGTGTATTGACTATCGGCAGCTGAACAAGGTAACCATCAGAAATAAGTACCCGACACCTCGTATTAATGATTTATTTGATCAGTTGCAGGGTGCTTCATTTTGCTCCAAGATTGACTTGAGATCTGGCTATCATCAGCTGAAGGTTAGGGTGGAGGATATCCCTAAGACAACTTTTCGAACACATTACGACCATTATAATTTTTTTCGATGATGTCTTTCGGATTGACTAACGCCCCTACAGCTTCTATGGACAAGATGAATGGAATGTTCAAACGGTATTTGGATTCATTTGTTATTGTCTTAATAGATGATATATTGACTACTCACGCAATAAGGAGGAAGACGAGCATTATTTGAGGATTATTCTTTGGATTTTAAATGAGAAGAAACTTTATGCAATGTTTTCAAAGTGTGAGTTTTAGCTTAGTTCGGTAGCATTCTTGGGACATGTAGTGTCTAAGGAGGGTATTATGGAAGATCCTAAGAATATGGAGGCAGTTAGAGATTGATCCAGACCTCCTTCAGTAACTTAGATTCGGAGTATCTTAGGCCTTGGATGTTATTATCGATGGTTTGTAGATGGTTCCTCATCCATTTTACATCCATTAACTAAATTGACACAGAAGGATGTGACTTTTCAGTTGTCTGACGAGTACGAGGTTAGTTTCCAAAAGCTCAAGACTATATTGACTACTACTCCAATTTTGACCCTACCCGTGGAAGGGGAGGGTTTTGTTGTGTATTGTGATGTTTCTCTAATTGGTCTTTGTTTTGTATTGTTGCAGAAGGGAAAGGTGATAGCTTATGCTTCGATGCAATTGAAGGTTCATGAGAGGAACTACCCTATTCATGATTTAGAGTTGGCGGTTGTTGTGTTTGCATTAAAGATTTGGAGGCATTATCTTTATGGTGTGCATTGTGAGGTGTTGATTATTAATCGTAGTCTCCAGTATACATTGAATCTGAGGGATATCAATTTAAGGCAGTGAAGATGGTTGGAGTTGCTCAAAGACTATGAACATGACTAATCTTTATCATCCAGGCAAGGAAAATGTTGTAGCAGATGCCTTGAGCCGGAAGGTGGTAATCATGGATAGTCAATCCATGTTGCAGGTTGGCAAACGTCCTGTAGCTAGGGATATACAATCCTTGTCCAATAGCTTTGTGAGACTTGATATTTCAGAATCTGGTAAGGTGTTGGCTTATATGGAGGCTAGGTCATTCTTGTTGGAGCAGATTCGGGTTCAACAGTTTGATGATCGTGATTTATGTAAGATTAGAGACAAGGTGTTAAAAGGAAAATCCAAGGCTGCAATTCTTGATAGTGAGGGAGTTTTGAGGATTAAAGGTCGTATTTGTGTTCCTTGGATAGGTGATTTAACTAGATTAATGATGGATGAGACACATAGCTCGAGGTACTCTATTCATCCAGGGTCTACTAAGATGTATCGTGACTTGAAGCAACACTATTTGTGGTGTCATATAAAGAGGGACATAGTAGATTTTAATCTCGGTGTTTAAATTGTCAGCAAGTGAAGTATGAACACCAAAAGCCTGGAGGTATGACTCAGCGGATGCCCATACCTGAGTGGAAGTGAGAGCACATTGATATGGACTTTGTGGTAGGGTTGCCACGTACCTTGGGTAAGTTTGATGCTATATGGGTCATCGTGGATCGATTGACTAAGTCTGCACACTTCATGCCAGTTTAGACTACGTATAATTCAGAGAAGTTAGCCAAGATTTATATTCAAAAGATAGTTCGTTTGCATGGGGTTCCTATTTCAACTATTTCATATCGTGTCATTGAATTTACATTTCATTTCTGGCGGTCTATTCAGAAGGATTTGGGCACTCGGGTGGATCTTAGTACTTTCACCCTCAGACTGACGGTTAGCCTGAACGGACTATTCATGTTCCTGAGGACATGTTGAGGGCATGTGTGATTGACTTTGGTGGTCAGTAGGATTAGTTCTTGCAATTAGCGGAGTTTGCTTACAATAATAGTTATCGTTCGAGCATTGAGATGACACCATTTGAGGCTTTGTATGGTAGGAGATGTAGATCTCCAATTGGTTGTTTTGATGCGTTTAAGGTTAGACCGTGGATACATATTTGCTGAGGGAGTCCTTGGACAAGGTCAAATTGATCCAAGATAGACTTCTCATGGCTCAAAGTAGGCAAAAGAGTTATGCAAATAGGAAGGTTCGTGATTTGGAGTTTATGGTTGGAGAGAGAATTCTATTGAAGGTTTCATCTGTGAAGGGTGTGATGAGATTTGGAAAGATGGTCAAGTTGAGCCCAAGGTTATTCGTCCTTTCGAGATTGTGGAGCGTATTAG